TCATCATACAATAGTATCTAAAATGAATTCAAACTTAAGACTAAAAATCATAAGGTACTAACTTCCTCCTTCAAGCCATATCGCATTGGTCTAACTATCTTCATTGTCTTCTTTGGTATCATATTGGTTCGCAATCGGATTATTGCTACTTTAAACGGTTGAATACTCTTATATCCTATCACTGAAATATCAAATTTCGAACATATTAACTACTTCGAGTAGATTACATAGGTCTAAATGTCTTCATTGTTTTCTTTGGTGCCACATTAGTTCTCAATCAAGTTAGTAATACTGTAAACGTCCATATACTTTTATATCCTATCACTAAAATCTAAAATTTCAAACATATTTGATACTTGAAGTTGATCCCAAGAGAAAACAAAAGTTAACTACTGATTTTTTAGTATGTTATCTTATAATAAAAAAAAAAAACAAAAACAAAATCAATCTGTTTTCTAAGAATTTTTTTTTGTATTTTTCTAGTTGGGAATGAATGATAAGATGCTCTTACTTTTATTCGGACAACTTTAAAAACATTGGCTTCATAGCTCACCCTACTTAAAGAATTTTTTTTTAGAGTTTAACTACAACAATTGACATATGTTTTTAACATTGTTGCAACTTTTTCATATACATAAAATCAACATAATTTTCCATCTAAGAGAATAAATATTTATTTTTTGTTTAGCTATGTATTATACTCAAACACTTAATCTGATTATATGACAATGAGACCAAATTTATAATATTCTAATCGAATTCTTCAACACCCTACACATATAGATTATCTTGTCAACTCTCTACTACTTATTTCTTTATTTTTTTCCTGAATTTCATTTCTTATATCTTGATCAATATATAACATTTCACTTTTAACTTTTAAATGGTATTCTATTTTCAAATTCAGTATCATCTCAACAAACTTTATGATTTGCAAGCATATCAAAGTAGTGACTCCACTTTCTACATATCCAAAAACGATTTTTATACATTATAACCTAAATGAGATACTACACAATAAAAAAAATCGCACTCACCTTATTGTAGTGGCACAACAAATATTTTCTATTACAATATTTACATTTATCTCAAGATTCTATGTCTCGGCCAACAAAATCTTTAATACAAATGATAAGATTGTTACAAAATTATACAAAACATTTGAAACCACCGGAAATTATTTAATACACAACAAACAACGGAAAGAAAAAATACACAATAGAGGTCGACAATAGCTTACAGATGTAGAAGATGCAATCAAACTTAATTATCATTCTACCTAGCCACTGATATGCAATTAAAAAAAGACTCGAAATCCTAATAAAATATAAAATAACCAAAACAGGTTAATGGTAAACAAAAAAATATAAGATTACATGTCCATCGCACGTATTCAACCATTTAGTGGCCTAAAACTGAATTTCAAAAAATATGTTTGTATCTAAATATCAAAAACACACCAAACAATCTAACGAATATAAATGGGATATATGCAAGCTTACCTCCTCTATAGATGAAATTTAACTTTTTGATCATATACTTTGATATGTGCATGTCAGTTGTAAAATTCTCCAAATTTGCATGCAACGATTGACATTTTGACTTCCACACATCCAATATGCGATCGACGTAAACATCGGTAACTATTATGCTATTAAGTTTTCTAGATATTACGATAACAAATTTATATGTCTTTTGCTTCAGTATATTTTTAATGTCAATTTTCTCTTGTTTCTCAACCTATATTTTTTTATAAATTCATAACTTTAAAAACGTTAATCAATGAGATGGTTATTGTGGTCAAAAATCAAAATACTTATAGTTTCATTTTTGGATTCATCGAGCCACCACAACAAATTTACTCACAGATAATAATATATATAATTATGATATCTATTGTCCTAGCTTCAACTTTGATATAGTATAGAAATGGCTTCAAATTCATTTATTTTTTAGAATATGAATTAACAAATAACTATTTTGATTAAAGATGGAATACAAACAAATGTAGTGAGACTAATAATGATCAATTTCTTATAATTATTTTCGCCTTTTAAATTAAACTTTTTTAAAAACTTAGAACTTTAAATTTTAAATTGTTTCCATATTTTTACTTTCGTTTATAAATTTAATAAAATGTTTTGATAACAACATTTATATTTATAATTGTTTCCATATTTTTAGATACTTTAGTTTATAAATTTAATAAAAAAATTAATAGAAAAACTTTATACTTTTATTATATATTTTGAAATTTTTTAAAATTTCCAAATATTTCTTTAATATTAAGTTAATACTTTTTTATAAATAAATTTTCGTAATTTTCTTATCTTCGAAACTTGTTTCCAATTCCTGTTAACTACATTATTTTAGAATTAGAAATTTTTCTTAATTTATTTGGAAGCTATTATAATGAGACTAACAATATTATTATTCTTTCAATATTGTAATAATTAACTTTTACATTTTCTTATTTCCATATGTTGTTTTTCAAAAGTTTACATTTCTATTCTATAGAAAATTTTATAATTTAAAAATGTTATTTAACGTTTTGGCTAAAAAAGTTAATTAATGAGATGGCCAACCGCGATTGGTCGTTTTAAATCCTAGGTGGACGGCCTCAGAGGCTTATCGCCTCGACTTTTATATAGTATAGATGAGCTAGTTTTTTTTTTTTTTTTTTTTGGTACGAAGATGAGCTAGTTTTCTTTAGTTATTAGTCTATTACAGTTTTGATTTTGTAAAAAGAGAAAAGGATTAGAGAATGACTTAAATAATCTTTCCATAAATAATAAATATTTACGTAGATGACAATATTTAACATCTTAACTAATTTTGAATTAGTTCCAGATTAGTGTGCGATAAATCAAATATAGAATTTCGAGAGCATGTATACTCAAAATTTGAACGTGTAGTTTAATAACCTTTAAATACATGAAGCAGAAAACAATGAAAAATCTTTAAACGTTTAATAACACTAGTATTGGTGACTAATGACTAACTTTTTTTTTTTTTTGTCATCATCTAATTACTAATGGACTAATGACTTACTATCTTTTTCTTTTTTGCGTAAAATCATTGGTGACTCTCTAGATCCTATTCAAATTAAAAGTTTTTAACTAGTCAGATTAATATAATATTTTGTCAAAAGTAATATAATATATAGGTAAGAGTGGACACTGACACGCATGTCAGTGTTGCAGATACTTAAATATCTTTTTGTGTAGACGTTTCTAATTTGCCAGATGTTCTCTTTCTTTTCACCTAGAAAAATAATATCTCCTTCTTTAGGCAAGATATTTTGTTCATTCATGTGCGTCTCTCAAACAAAAAAAATAAAAATAAAATAAATACAAGATATTTTGGTTTTTATAAAGTCAAAGCAAAGACTATTGTTTTGATTGGGCTTAAAAGCCTTAAAGCATCTAAAAGAGGACGATTTTGAGAATCCAGAATCGGAAAAGTTTCCACTTGTGCCATCTAGATCGCGAGTACACACTCTTTGTCTACACGCGGGCGCGTGACTTTACACTCATAAATATATTTAAGGTCCTTAAAAAATGGGTTCTTTTACATTTTTTACCCAATGTTTCTAGAATTATCAGCTTATGTCACATGCCTGCCTACATGTCCCTTTGCAGACACAACCCACCCATTGTCTATCCATCTATTTCTCTTTTGCTGAAGAAGTTGTGGAATCATCTATTTCTCAAGCTTCTTCGTTTCAAAAAGCATTCCTTTTTGGTGTTTCTGCTTCAGAAGATTCTTCACGATCTCTCTCCTATGTGAGTTCTTTAAAACCCTTGTGTTGTTATTTTAGTGAGGGTTGCTTTGATTCTCAATCCTTTTGGCTGATCTTGAAATGGATCTTCTTTCCCTGCTTTGATTTGTGATAAGAAATCTAGAATTTTTTAGTTCACTTCTGTGATTGGTACATGTTGATCTGAAATTTGAAGTCTTTCTGTGATGTTAATTGGTTTCTCTGATGTCTTTTGATTGGTTTTTGATTTATAGCAGACTCATAGATAGGAATTTACGATCTTTAAGAAAGAAATGTTCAAAAAGATTGGATCTTTATCTACTTCGGTCTGCTTTTGATGCAAAGTTTCTATACTAAGTAAGTTATATTAATGTATATCGGTAAGATTATGATATACGGGAACTAAGCAAAAGGGTATAGATTCT